TATAAATTTTTCTGTAAACACTGCTTCAGCTGTATCTCATAAATCTTGGTATGTTGTGTCTTTGTTTTCTCTCATCTCAAAGCATTTTCCAATTTCCCTTGTGATTTTCTTCATTGACCAGCTGGCTACTTACCAAGGAGTGGGTTGTGTTTAATTTCTACATATTTGTGAACTCCCCTAATTGCTTTTTGATTTCTAATTTCATTTCATTGTAGTTGGAGACCATACATTGTATGATTTCAATCCTTTTAAATTTATTGAGGCTCATTTTATGGCCTAGTATATGGTCAATCCTGAGTGTTCCATATACACTTAAGGAGAATGCTGTTGTTGGTTGGAATATTCTATAGATGTGTTTTAGGTCTAGTTGATTTATAGTGTTCAAGTATTTCATTATCTAGTTGCTGTTCTATCTAGTTGTCTGTCTTTTATTCAAAGTGGGGGGATTGAAGTCTCCCAAGTATTGTTGAATTGTCAATTTTTCTCTTCATTTATGTCAGCCTTTGTTTTATATGTTTTGGGTTCTGTTGTTTCGTGCATATATTTTTAGAATTGTTACATTTTCCTGATCCATTAGTTGTTCTATCAATTATAAAATGCTCCTCTTTATTTCGAGTGACATTTTTTGTTCTAGTCTATTTTGTCTGATATTGGTATGGGCATTTCCGCTTTCTTACTGTTGCTGTTGTGGGATATATTTTACCTGTCCTTTTACTTTCAACTTTTTTTGTATTTTTGAATATAAAGTAGATCTCCTGTAGGCAGCATATAGTTGGATCTTTTTTTTTTTTTAACTCTGGCCTGACACTTTTTGCCTTTTGATTGGATTGTTTAATCCATTCACTTTTAATATTATTGCTATGTTTGGTTTAGGTATGCATTTATTTTTGTTTTATATATTTCCTCTCCTTTTACCCTCATTTTTTATTCTTTACTGCTTTCCTTTGCATTAAGTGAATATTTCTAGTGTAACGTTTTCATTCCTTTATATAAGTACATATGTATATGTATATATGTATGTATATATGTATTAGTGGTTGCTCTAGGGCTTACAATATACATCGTGCTAGAATCTATTTCACATTTATATTAACTTATTTCAGTGAGATATAGAAACATTTCTCCTATTTAGCCCATTTCCCTCTTCTTTATTTTTGTGCTATTATCGCTCTACATATTGCATCTGGATATGTTACTAACCCAACAATACCTTATTACTTTATGTAATTTTATGTCTTTTAAAGAAGGTGACTGAAAAAAGACGAGCAAAGATATATTTTTGCATTTATTTTATTACCCTCTTATTTACCATTTCTGGTTTCCTTCATTTGTTCCTGTGTATTTGAGTTATCATCTGAAGTCATTTCATAGTGCAATACAACTTTGCTCTTATCCACTTCCTTTATGCTGTTAGTCACAAATATATTACATTTCTATATGTTATAGATCCATCAATACAATTGTATACATATTGTTCTATACAATTGTTTTTGAAGCTATTAAGAGAAGAAAGTAGAGGTTATTAGCATTTATACTGTCAAATTACATAATTACCTTCACCAGTGCACTTTCTTTTTCATGTGAATTCAAATTACTGTCTGGGGTCACTTGTTTTCAGCCTGAAGAACTTCATTTAGTATTTTATGTGTGGATGCCTGCTAGCAACCAATCCTCTCAGTTTTTATCTGGGTATGTTTTTATTTTATCTTCAGTTTTAAAGACATTTTTGGTGGAAATCTGATTGTTCGTTAACCGTTTTTTTCTTTCAGCAATTGGACTATGTCATTCTACTGCCTTCTACCTATGTTTAAGTTCACTGATCTTTTTGTCTTTTCAAGTCCAGGCCCTCTAGTGAATTTTTTATTAGTTATTGTACCTTTTAACTACAGATTTTGTTTATTATCTGTTTCTAGTGATATCCTCTATTTGATGAGATATAATTGCACCTTTTTTTAACTTTAATCATAGTTTTCGTTAGTCTTTTGAGCACATTTATAAGTTACGTACATTGAAGTCTATTAGATGGGACATCTAGACCTTCTCACAGGTGGTTTCTGTTGCCTGCCTCTTTTCCTGTCTCATACTTTTTTCTTTGCATATCTTGTTATTTCTTATTCAAAACTAATATGTTGCAGCAATTCTAGATACTGGCCCCTACTTCCTTGATGTGTTATTGTTGTTTGCTTGTTTATTTTTTTATGTCTGGCTGGATTATTATGGGTGAACTGTATTTTTTCGCCAATAGGAAGCCCCTAATGCTGCTCCTCTTTAGAGGACACAACCTTGGGCATAAGTACAGCCACTCTGGAATGACAGTGGTTCTCCTTGACTGTTTCTTTCTGTGATCTCTCTGTTAAGCTGTTTGCTTCTGTTGGTATCACACTCAGCTGTTGGCCTCAACTCATTGACAGCCTATTGTTTCAACGGTGCCCTAAGATCCAACTTGCTCCATAATCTCCTTTTATTAAATTTGGGCTCCTTTACAGGGGTAGTTTTTAAGGTCATTGTTTGAGGTTTGTTATGATCCCAAGAGGACCCTTCTTAGTTGTCTCTTTGTCTCCGTACCATCTCTCTGGTAAACTAGTGGTAGGCCTGTGGCTTAGCTCATATCTGTTATGAAGCTACCAGCCTTCTTTTAATTGTCCCATTGTATTTGAGAGTGTCCTTGGCCTTGAGCTTTCCCACACTTCGAAATGAAGACAGCTCCTCTAGGGAGATAATTTGGAGCAGGTACCAGGATCGTGGCATGCTTCTCTCTCAGTGATATCCCTGCTTTACGAGTGAGTACTGGGCATGGGTGGTAGCCTCTGGTCTTCTCTGCTTACCTCTCCCAGCATGGTATCTCCACCCTAAGAAAGAACTGGGGTGAGGGCGATTGGGGCCCAAGTATTTTTAATCCCCTGAGGTAGAGTCTTCTGTTTGTGAGTGGGGATGGGCAAAAGAAGCCTGGATGCACTTCTCTCAAATTTGTCCCATGCAGTAGTAGTATGTAGCTTGGGGTTGGGGAAATAAGAAAAGCTTGTGACCTGCTCCTCCCAGGAAGATACTATAGTCCTCTACTGAGAGCTTGGGAGAGACGGGCCACACTGCCTGGGCTGGAGCTTCTGGAATGCTGAGATGGGAAGGGAGAGGGAGTGAGTTGTGATTCAGATGCCCCAGGTTCTTGCTGTTCTTACTGAGTTTTAGTAGATTTTCTTTAATAATTGTGTACTCATTTTCTGTATACCATGAAGCAATTTTCAAAGACTTTCAATGGTTGTTTTTAAAAATAATTTTACCACTTATGCTTGTTTTGCTGAGGAATGGGTTTCTTGAGCTCTTCATGCTGCCATCCTTGAAGTAGAATTCCAGCTATGAATATTCTTGCCTGTGCCTCCTACTGACATGGACAAGAATTTCTTTAGATTCAGAAATACTGGATTAGAGGATATGCAAGTGGAAATCAATATTGCACAGCTGGCATAATCATATAAAGTTATACAAAGCAGTTGTGCCAGATTCTACGATCACCATCAATCAAGATATTAGAGTTCTTGTTGCTACACATCTCTTTAGCACTCAATATTGTCATTGGGCTTAATTTTTGCCTGTCTGTGGTCTTCATTTACCTTTCCCTGTCATTGGCATCTGTGTTTCTTTTTTTTATTTTTATTTTATTTTATTAGAGAATTGGGGGAGGGGAACAGTGCTGGGGAACAGGGGAAGGGGAACAGACAAGTTGCTGTCCTTTTGTTCTTCAGCCTAAAGGAGGAGGATGTCGCTTCACTGGCCCATGTTGTTATTATCATTGTGCTCTTCCTGGGTGAGGCAGATCGGTTGCAAGCCTCTGGACGGCTGCTCACAGCGGCTCTTGGCAGCTCACACTGGTTCCCGGCTGCTCACACTGGCTGCCAGCCACACACGGTATCTTATGGCAGCCCACTGCAGCAGGGGCTGCAGCCTACGCCGTCGCCGGCGTCTCATGGCAGCCCAGCTCCAGGTCAAGCTGTTGTTCACCATCTTAGCTGTAGAGGGCAGTGTCACTGGCCCTAATGTGGGATCTGAACCAGGGCCCTGCTGCTCAGAGCTGGCGTCCCAAGCCAGCTCTTAAACAACGCGCCACTCAGCTGACCTGGCATCTGTGTTTCTTCTGTGCATTTTGGATATTTGTCCTTTGAATATATGTGAATTAAAATTTTCTCCCATTTTGTGGTTTGTGTTTTTACCTGATGGTGTCTTTTGTTAAACAAAAGTTCTTTTGATACAGTTGAATGTATCACACATTACATATTTAAGAAATTCTTCCCTACCCCAAGTTTAGAAAGATAATTTTCTACACTAAGAGTTTAAAAGTTTTGAGCCGGCCGAGTGGCTCAGTTGGTTAAGAGCTCACTCAAGAGTGCAAGCTCTAAGCAACAGCGGTTTGAGTCCCGGCCCAAGCTGAGCTGTGCTGAGCTGTCAACAGGTGGCAGGATGGCTCAGCTAAAAAAAAAAAAGTTTAAAAGTTTTTACTTTTATCGTTAGTGGTTTTTGTCTATGGTGTGAAACTTTTCATCTTTTCCATGTAGATAACTCACTGACTCAGCCCTATTTATTGAATAGTCCCTCTTGTCCTCACTGATCTGAAGAGCCTCTTAGGAAAATTTGATATTACATATCTGTATCTGTCTATTTTGGGGTTCTCTTTCCTATTTCATTAGTCAATTTGTGTAGTCTTGTGCCCTTACCATACTATCTTTCTTACTATAGCTTTATAAATAGTTTGATGTCATGAAGGAAAAGTGTTTTGCCTCTTTTAGGAGTATCTGAGCCATAAGCTTAGACTTTTAATATTTTAAGTACCTTTGAGTAAAAACATTTTTTTTCATATTATGTATAATAATTAGTAGACATGGAATTCAGTATGTACAAATTACTTATTCTGACCATATACAGTGTTGAAAGAAATGGAAGAAGAAATATATTATTACACTTCATTTATTAGCTGAGGTCACTTTTTTTTTTTCCTTTTTTAACTATAGGAACAGTTTTGATAAAAAGCAACAGTGGTCAGTTGATGTTGGTATCTCCTCAGCAAGCTGTAACAGGAGGTGAGACCACCAGGAACATAATTTCAAGGCCAGCTGTACCAGCGAATACTCAAACAGTCAAAATCTGTACAATGCCGGTAATATACCTTAAAGTTTTTTCCATCTCCTTTACTTTTCCAGGTATTGTGTTCATGTAAATGTGTACGTATTTGCCAGTAAAAATAATCGAAGAGATGATTCTGCTTAACTTCTTGAATTAAGTTACTTTGTTTGAATAGGTCAATTTAATCAAGATGTTTGGTTTTGTCATTTGGTAATTGCTAAAATAAAAATTCAGTCTTCATACTCAAAGATTTTGTGTAGTCCTCAAGGTAGTGTTCAAGGACTGTTTACATCTCTAAATGGAAAGAAAACCATTCTGTTTTAATTTTAGTTTGTGACTGAACATTAAGACTACACTTTATAGTATTCATTTTTATCCATGTTTTACAGAAATTACCTTTAAGAAATTCACAAGTCTGTTGTAATATTTTATTAATTTGGCATTGTTCAGAAGTGATTTATTTTACATACATGATAATCTTTGCAGGTACCTGAAGCTTATCTGTGTGGCAGAGTTTAAAAAATATATTTTTTTATGGGCATCTTTCTTTGGTTAAACAGAAAATACTGAATATAACATAGCATTTTCTTGATGAGTCAAGCTTATCCTAAAGAAAGATTGCACTGTATTCTGTGGTAGTATCATCCTTGCCCGTTTAAATACCCCCACCCCCCATTTTGTTCTTCCTAAATTGATTCTGGGTTCTCAGTCATTTTCTCTGTTACTGTATCTGTTAATGGTAGCTACTCCTTCCCTGTCTAGTTTGCTTTTTTAGCTGTTGTGGATTTAGAAGATAGGTTAGCATTTTTTTTTATAATTAGATAGTAAATAAGAACCTGTATGTTTTCTATATGAGCCAAAGAGTAAAGTTTAAGATTTTAATGCTGAAACACTGTAATATTTATTTGTTAGATCAATTGCCTCCTTAGAAATATGAAATGAGTTTCAACTGGCCAAATGACCAGTTAGATTCATAGCAGAGAATGTGCATATAATCTATAAGATTATAAAACCAGTTATAATTAAGAAGTTTGCTATGGTAAAGTGTTTTAATGTTTGCCACGGTACTGATTGATTTTAAATTACTAATGCTGATGACTGTGTTATTCCACTAACCCCCCAGAATTCTAATTCACAATTAAACAAGAACATGGCAGTGGCACCTGGTAAAAAATTGGCACAAATAGGAACTACTCTGGTTACCACTGTTCCGAAGCCTTCCTCAGTACAAGTAAGTTGTGACTGACTTGTGGTTATGTATGCACTGGTTATTCTCTCATGTTTCTTTATTATTTAGCTATTTCCTGTCAGATATATAATCCAGACTATGTGACATTGAAGAGAGTGATTCAGTGAGATATGAGACACTTACCAAACTGGGAACTGTTGGTGATATGGGAAACACAAGATAAACATGGTGTATATTCTTGGAATATCAGTTTTATTTGAATCTATTAATATAAATGCATCAAATAGCCATGTGTTGCAGTGTCTAGCAGGTGCTGGAACAGAATTTTGGGGTGTGGGATATTTGTTAGGGATTAATACCTGTGGAAGGGAAGGAGAGCAAGTTAGAGTTGGAACTAGATGCAGGCCCAATAAAGCGTCAGCCAATCTAATGGAGAACTTTGGAGCAGATATGGCCTGTCAGAGTTGTCCCACTGTGTGTCAACATGATCGGCGAGGCCTTAATTTCCCTTTGCGATCAGTCATTGGATGTGGACTCTCCAGGGAGTGTTGTGCTCTTTGGCAAGGTGATTCTCTGCAGCTAGAAAAAACCTGAAGGAGCTGGCAACTCGGGGCTGTCTAATAGCATTCCCAACAGCTAGGCAAACACAAATCTCTCCTGTGATGGTGTATCACAGGATACTCCTTGCATTACAGGATCTACTTCCTCATACATGTTGAAGACCAGCTCTTGGGATTCCAGTGAGTTACTTAGGGAAACAAGGAAGAGGAAATTAGTAGGATGAACTACAGTCCCCACTGCTACAACTGATATTTATCATCTCTCTCCTCCATTATGTATTCTACATTCCCCTCACCCTCATCTACCAACTCTGATGGTCCTGGTAGCTTAACTGGTAGTGTGATCACACCTCCATCCCTGAGGGATATGAGGTCCTAATCACCATATTCTGAGGCAGGCGTTGCTCTACTTGTCCATTTGTCATCACAAACAGGCAAGGGAATACCAAGAGGCACTTAAATAAATCACCTGGAATCACCACACATATGCCCCTCAGCCTCCATTGGGTAATAGCAACCCTACCTGTCAGGTCAGTTACCCCTGGTATGATAATGACTCTTCTTTTTCCTGCTGGTCCCTGGACACAAGGAATCTGAAGTGCCCAGGAGGTAGCCATGGTGTCTCATTTATATGGACTCTTACTATGTCCTTTGATGAAAGTGTGACCCCTGTGGGTAGAAATGGGAAGCACAGAGTCCCCTGGTGGGTCTTTGGGAATGATGGCATATGGCTTCATTCATCCCGCTCCTCCTTGATTCCTTGGTTTTTCATGTGTTTGTAGCAGGGGCCACCAGCCTTGTTACACTAGTGCATCTGGTCTCCTGGGTGGGTTGCCAGAACCTGTTGATGGGGATGTTGAGGCATTAGGAAAACAGGAAGTCGTAAGAGTTGACAATACAATTTTGTTATTTCATGAAAGGTTTTTATCACTTCAGCAGTACTTTGAGTATATCACTTTTTTCTTTGGATCTGTTTCTCAAAGATTTAGTACTTATAGTTGTTCTAAAATGGTACATCTGGGTTCTTTTCCTTTGATTATTTTTTCATATATATGTCTACCATTGATGTTTCCATGTGGATTGTTTATAACTTGTCCTAAATTGATGCATATTTTAAGCTGGGCTGTTCTTCAATAATAGGCTAAAATAGTAGAAATTATTAAGCAATGAAGTTAATGAATAATATCTGTGTCTACTTTGAGGGGTAAAGCATCTCAATTTTAGGCATTTCTGGGAAATAAGGAGCTAGAACTTGGAAATGAGAGAAGATAGAACTCTTCGTATTTGTCTATTTTGACTATAAAGGCAAATGTGAATGTGTTAAGAAATTTTGTAAGCATTTTCATATTATTGAAATTTTTCCTAAGTACTGAAATTTATTTTAAATGGCTTGAAACATGGTCTGGTCTAGTAAATATAACACAGGAACTAGTTTGAAATCTTTGTTCAACATTATGTTGTATTTGATGATGAAGACATATGTTGGTTCGTTGTTAGGTTGGAATATAATGTGCAAATGATTGCATTTAGAATTAGTATTTCTAATTATATATGAAGAAACCCAAAGTTGATTGCTCTTTCAAACAAGTATGACCTCCTTGAAATGCATTTTAGTCTGCTAAATTTGCATACTTGTACAACTCATTTTACTGGCTCTATGTATAACTAATTTTCACAGATTATTTCTCATCCGTCCCAGCTCTTTTCTCTCCTGTCCCCCAGACATGCCTAGTCAGTGCCAGTGCAGTCTTGCAATGCATGGAAGTACCATTGGCTGGTCTATATCTAGTCTAAGGCAGAGTTACAGTTGAGTTTAAGACATTCTTTACTGCAATGAGATTATGTCGATGACTGGGATTAGGTACCTCTTCATGCCTTCTAAGAGGTGGAATTGGCATGGAAAGTGCACGTAGATGGTAAGGTCAGGTCATGAAGGACAGATTTTGTACTGGAGACAGAATAAAATATTGACAAGGAAAGTAGAAATTCCATAAGTACTCCATCTGCTCACAAATATTAGGACATTTTCCTGAACTCACATTTCATTGGGTCTTATTTTGCTTCATAAGGGAGAGGGACAAAACTCCCCTGAGGAACTCTTCCCACCAGTAATCATACCCGCTAAAGTTCCAGATTACACTTTTGCAAATATAGTGGCACAAAGAGTGAATGACTGAACATAAAATAGACTCACTAAAGAAATAGTATTTATTTACTTTATATTAACCTAAAAAAGTTTATTAGCAAGTCTCCAAAAGACTCAAAAGAAACTGCACAGTTGTTGTCCTTGGAGAGCAGGACGAAGGATAGGAATAGGAGAGAGATATTTTCATTGTTGCCTTTGAGATCTGTTCATACTTAATAAAATTATACTAATGTAGGTGCAATTTTAAAATTTTACCTTATTTTGTTTAACATTTCATCATTAGTTCTCGTCTTCATCATTAGTCAGTGTTTTTAATTTCTTTACCATTTTTACCCTCAAAACATTCTTGTCTAATACAAACTCCAGTTTTTCTAAAGTGGAAATTTGGGTGTACATTCAAATTCACCTATCTTGACTATTACAGAAGGAAATTTTCTTGAAGATGATAGTAACCTGACCTTTTTGTGCTGTATGCACAAGCATTTAAATTAAAATAGTGGTGCAATGTTAGTTTTCTGTGTGAATTGCAAGTACTATTCTCTCTCCCACCTCCAAACTTTACTCATGTTCTGTAACTTTTAGTGTCTGTCTTTAAAATAAGATTGTTGATTTATCTCAAATATGGTTGTATAAATTATTACCTACCTGATTTGTGGTTTCTTGTATGAAACTTTTTATCCTGCAGGTGGTGCTATAATCACACCTCATTTCAATAGAGGGTGGGAAGAAGCAACTAAAACTGTTTTCAGTCTGAAAATAAGATGTCACTTTTGTAATATTCATAATGCATACTCTTATAGTCTACATAAAAGCCGCTTATCTGAATATAAGATAACCAGTAAATCTCTCTGCTTTATGCTTAAGAAAATTATGGGACAAGAAATTCTATATTTTCATAAAGAGCTTATTATTTCAAACCCTTTTTTGGAGAAGTATTAATATTTTTTGCGGACTATGTGCTTGGCACAGTATTTCACAAACAACCCTAGGATATTGTAGGTACCATTGCTATCCTTGTTTTTTATTTACAGGAATCAGAGGGTTAACAGGCTTAAGTAACTTGTCTAAGGTCAACACTTAGTAGGTAGGTAGATGAGACTAAAACCCAGATTTGCAAGAGTCCAGAACTTTTATAACTGTGTTACGTTGCTTTAGACTAGGTAGAGCATAACATAAAAGCAAAGATTTTAAGATCTATTTGTAGTCTGATAAATGTGAAATGAGGCACCCACTGTCATACTTAATCATAGTAATATAATACATATTTAAATATATACTTTTAATTTCAGTCTGTGGCTGTGCCAACCAGTGTTGTCGTCACAGTTACTCCTGTGAAGCCGTTGAATACTGTAACTACCCTGAAGCCTTCAAGTGTGGGAGCATCACCTGCCCCCTCAGATGAGCCCAATCTCAAAGCAGAGAACTCAGCAGCTGCTCAGACTAATCTTTCTCCAGTAAGCTCTCACCTGTACCTTACATAAATGCAGCTCTTTACAAATTTTCTTGGATTCTATTCTAGCTAACATTTGTGTTTGTTTATATTTCTTTATTCAGACAATGCTAGAAAATGTGAAGAAATGTAAGAACTTCCTTGCAATGTTAATAAAACTAGCATGTAGTGGGTCACAGTCCCCAGAAATGGGGCAGAATGTGAAGAAACTGGTGGAACAACTTTTGGTAAGTTAGTACTGTGAAATCTTACAAGCTCTGTAAGAATTCATAGAGCATGTTTTAAATGGGAAATAAATATGTTAAAGTGAGATTTATTTTAAATGTATTTTTTTGATAAACTTCGCTTTTGATTCTTGAAAGCTTTGTAATGATTATAAATCTTAGGCAAGAAAATCTATTATAGTATATTACTTTCTATATGCCAGTCCTGCTTCCCTTAGCCTAAAAAGGGCCTTGGAAAGAAGGTTGACTGGTCAAATAAATAGTTGTTACTTGAATTGTAAGTACCAGAAAGTGAGACTGTCAACAAATAGTAAAATTCAGTTTTGTATGTCCAAACAACAAACTTTGGTCCTGTGGAATTAAGTTAACTTCCTTAGGTCTTAGTTTCCTTCTCTGTAAGATGAGAAGAGTAAATGTGATGAATTTTGAGGTTTATGTAAGTACCATGATGCTGTGTCTTTTCGCTATCAAATTACACATCCTTGATTTCTTCTATCTTCTTTCAAGTAAAATGCTTCTAAACATTACAAAGCAGATGAAGGTGGAAATTAGCAAATATTGCATATTATATGCTTCAGAAGTATGCTGAAAATGTATCAGACAAATATAATTTTGGATTTTTTTGAATTACTAAAATCTACAGACTTCTCTGGCTATCTAATGAGAATTTTTGTGTATTTTTCATATAAAAATTGTTACTTTTTCCCAGCAAAAAACAATAGAGTTGGCCCTAGAACAGCATGGATTTGAAATGCTGAGGTCCACTTACATGTAGATTTTTTTCAATAAATATAGTCATCCCTTTGTATCTGTGGGTTTTGCATCTGCAGATTTAACCAGTTGCTATTGAAAAAAGTATTTTTGCATTCCCATCAAAAATAGTTTTCGATCCTTGGTTGGTTAAACCCAAGGAGGTGAAGGGCTGACTGTAGAGTCAAAAGTTATATGCAGGATGTGAGGGCGATCTTACTGCAACATCTGTCGCCCCATTTTCACCAGAGTTGATTTGGCTATTCTGGCTGGCTAGGTGGGTGTTCCCTTCCTCTCTCCCAAAGCTGCGCACTTGGTCGAAGAGGACGACCTTTCCCGATAGAGGAGAGGACTGTTCTTCAGTTAAGGGTATACCAGTAGCTGCATTCCCCTGCTAGAACCTCCAAGTAAGTTCTCAAGGTCCATTTGTAAGAGAACTAGGGTAGTCAAGCTTCCCAGACTCCAAACACATCCAAATGAGGCACTGCATGTGGCAGTCTGCCTTTCTTTTAAAAAAGAAAAGGAAAAACAAGTTATGCAGATTTTCCACTGCACAGCCCTTAGTAACTCTAACCCTGCATTGTTCAAAGGTCACCTGTGTTTCAAATAGTGTACAGGAAAACAAGCATAGTTTATAAATAATAAAATACCTTCTTTACTACTTTTTTTAATGCTACCTATAATTTATTAGCAATAGAACCCATTTGAAATGATTGGTTTTCTGTTCAGGAAAACTTAGATACTTAGAAGTCATAAGTTTTTAACTTTTGAGCTTCTTTTTAAAGTAAACATTGAGCTTTTGGTCTTTCATTTTCAAAGTGTGTTAGTTTCAAAAGGGGATCTGGTGGCTTGTTTCTCTGAGATGGAATAATCTAGATTAAGAGGCATGATGGGAAGGAACATGTATCCAAGAAAACATTAAAAAGTTTCTAAGTACAAAAATGTGTGCTTTCCTTACAGTGACAGCTTATTTTTTCTACATTTTTTTAGAAAATGCCTATCAAATACCCAGGTCTTCTGAATAAGCACAGTTGGTTTGACATTCTTCCCAGTAAAGGAAAAAAAAGGCAGCTCATTCAGCTAGCAACTCAATCATAAAGTGCTTTCCCTTGAGCATCTTAATTTGGTGTGCAGCAGAAATGCTGTATGTGTGGTTCACATTTTGTTATAAACAATGTTAAAAAGATGCCTATTGAAGGGTTGAGATTTAGTAAAACTAATTTTTACTGATAACTTCACTGAGGACATTTGAATTTGGCTCTATTTTTTTTTTTTACCACAAGTGCATAGCACTGTAAAATATGATAACTATTTCAATTTGTTGCCATTGCCTTTCTTGACAGCAGTTTTACTCACTGTTCCTTTTGTACCATCAGTGCAAACCTCAGCACAGTGAAAAAGGCCAAAATTTTTTTTTTTAGTAATATGAAAATAATTTAGACCTCATAGATCCCTGAAATGCTTAGACTGTAAGGCAATATGGAAGGGTTCTTAAGTCCTTTGGAAAACTAGTATATCTTAATGGCCTTATAGCCATATCCTTTTTTTTTTTTTTTAACGCTAAGCCATCCTGCCACCTGTTGGCAGCTCAGCGGCTGCTCAGCTCGGGCCGGGAATCAAACCACTGTTGCTCAGAGATGGCACTCTTGAGTGAGCTCTTAACCAACTGAGCCACTCGGCTGGCCCCTGGCTTATAGCCATATCTTAATGGCTACTATATACCGTAGGGTCTTACAGTAGCATTCTAAAAATACAGTCTTACCTTGGCTAAGGTAATTTCAAAATAGAAACAGCAAAACAAACAAAAATAAAATCAAGGCTCTCAATCCAAATAACCTCCTATTCTCTACCTTAAGAAATTTAGAATTCCTGTGTCTGTGACTTCTTAATTGTTCTTAACAGACTGTAATATACTTATTCAGTCTGTTAGGTCTACTCTTAACTTTGCTTACTGGGATCTTAAAAAACCATCCCTTCATTGTGTTCTGTATGAGCAAACACCTCTACTGTTTAAGCTTATTCATTCACAAGTGACATGAAAAAAAGTGCCCCCACTGTGCAAAGCTTATTATGCCTACAATCGAATTATACACTGTTCTTCATAAAATATTTGTAGACCTGAAAGTGTTTTTGTTTCTCCCATCCTCAGGATGCAAAAATAGAAGCAGAAGAATTTACTAGACAACTGTATGTTGAACTCAAGTCTTCACCACAGCCTCACCTAGTTCCTTTTCTTAAGGTAGAGTTATGTGTTACTTTGAAGAAATTCTTTGGATTAGATTACTTTAAAATAATTTAAAATCTGATTATTTCAATGTGACAGCAATTTAACGTGAAGATAACTAACAATGTAGGAGAAACCTCTTCAGTGTTGTTGTAATCTGTAAATAACATGGATCGTCCTTATTCTTTGGGTTGGCCTTCTTTGTCCTAATGACTCATATTCTCTTAGAAATAATAAATCACATAATGCCAAATTTAGTGGAAAGGCTATTATTTAAAAAATATTAATTTACATTGTTAGTAGGCTTATACTTTAAGATTTATTTAATAAAATAGAATTTTGATGGAGAACAATAACTTTTATAACAAGAGCTTGGTTTGGCCGACTAAAACATATATATATATATTTGGATACTCAGAAACTGAAAGGGAATCGAATTGAAATTTATGTTCATTAAAGACCTGGAACTAGAGTGAACCAAAGACTCATACCATAAATTTTAAAATAATGGAATGAGATGTTAACTTTAGAAAAATTTGGCTTAATTATCTAGGGGAGATGAAAGAGGGTTCATAGTAGAAGACTCCTTTTGGTTGCCTCATGAAACAAGAGTGGGAAGGGAGATGGGGCACCACATTTTCAGAAGAATATTAAAATAGTGGAAACTGTCTCTAGGAGGTTGACCATGTTGATTAGGAGGGTGCCAATCATGGGATATGAAGTGTGGCTAAAGAAACTGGGAATGTTTTAGCCAGAGAAGACTTGGTCTGGGAAAGGGAAGGTTAAAGGACCAGCATAATACTGATTGAGGAGTTAGAGGCAGTGCTTCCGTGGGTCCCTTTCAGTACAAAGGTTCTGTGAGCCATAGTTCTCTACATTACACTGACAACTCTTTTTTTTTAAAGATTTTTATTGGGAAATTGGGGGATGGGAACAGTGCTGGGGAATTGGGGGAAGGGGAACAGACAAGTTGCTGTCCTTTTGTTCTTCAGTCTAGTTGTGGAGGATGTTGCTTCACTGGCCCAAGTTGGCACCATCATTGTGCTCTTCCCAGGCGAGGCAGGTCAGTCGCCGGCTTCTGGATGGTCGCTCACGCTGGCTGCTGGCCACACATAGTAGTTTATGGCAACCCACTGTAGCAGTGGTTGCAGCCTACGCCGTCGCTGGCGACTCACAGCAGCCCAGCTCCAAGTTGAGCTGTTGTTCAGCATCTTAGCTGTAGAGGGCAGTGTCACTGGCCCTCATATGTGGGATCTGAACTGGGGCCCTCTGGCGTCCTAAGCCAGCTATTAACCAGTGCGCCACTCGGCCGGCCCTACACTGACAACTCTTGAGTTTATTTATACTCACTAGAGACACCATGGGGAAGAAGGAGGGAAATTAGTAAGCACCTACTATGTGTCTGATGCTTTGCTAGATACTTTACTTTTTAATTTGCATTGTTTGCCCTTAATTTTCATATCTGTCTTTTGAGAAGAGGTGCTAAACAGTATTTTCCATTTTGGAGATGAGATAACTGTTTCAATTGACTAACTTTTGATCAAACTCACAGGTCCAGCCTATCTGACTCCACTCGGTAGCTAACATTACCTTTAAGTTACCAAATATTACCATTAAGTATTTGCACTTTGTATCTGTTCTAAGGACCTATTTTAAGCCTTACGCTTTTTTCTTGAGAATTTCTCATTTTGAGAACTTTGGGGGATTGGATATTGCACAGGGGTGAGGGATTTTGCATTTAACCTTAACTTTGGCCAGGTGATCAAGAGGTAATTTAGACTTATGTTTTTTTAATGTCTCTTTAAATCTTATTACTTTAACATTTCTTTCCAATTGTGTTTTTTTTCGCCCTCAGGACTCCCTCATCTTAAATTTCTAGCTTAAATTTAATCAAATCACTTCATTTGTCATGTATTTTCAAGGCAGCTCATTATTAGAGACATTCTTATTTTCCTTTGTTATTATATTTCTATTTGAAAACCTCTTCATATAAGAATTTTATCACTCTCTTTTAATAAAAAAAGAAAAGAAGAGGAAAGGAAGAGGAACAATAGTTCTCGTTTGCCTCTTACACAAAGGCGGTCTGACTGAATTTAATTGTCAAAACAAGAAAATATTTCAAAATAGCTGATGAACTAGCCAAAGATAACCTACCTACTTTTCCATCATTTTTTTCTTAAATCAAAAACAAACAAAACCATAGGAATGAAAAGGTAGAACCTTCTACTTTTTAGTTTGAACTGTCTATAACTCTTTCAGCAGGATACAAAGATAAGTACCAATTTAAAATCCACTCAGAAAATGTTCTAGCTTACTTAAGAAAATTCACCTTGTTTTAGACAAACAAATGAAGAAACAAAAACTCACAGACACAGACAACAGTTTAGTAGTTACAGAGGGTAAGCGGGGAGAGGAGATGGTAGAAGAGAGCAAAGGGGGTCAAATATATGGTGATGGAAGAAGAACTGACTCTGGGTGGTGAACACACAGTGTGATATATATGAGATATGATGAAACAATATGGTAAATGTTTGAATAAAAAAGTTTATTGCAGTAAAAGTATTTGCTAGATACTTTTATAAATTTATTGCAGTAAATGACACATTACCATTAATCCCCCCTCCAAATACTCTCCCTTGCTTCCAACATAGTTATCCCATTGTTCTTGCCACTTTCTGAAGCAGTTCTGGAAGTCCTCTTTTGTGAGTGTCTTTAGTTGGGCTGTCATAGCTGCCTCGATGTCCTGATCGTTTTGACTTTGGGGAAGAGCCAGAGGTTGCATGGTGCCAAATCCAGTGAATAAGGTGGACGAGGATACACCGTAATGTTTTTCTTTGACAGAAACTGTCATACAAGAAGCAGTGTGTGACACAGAGCATTGTCATGAGGGAGGATGATACCATTTGCCCATTTCTTGTTAATGTGTAGTTCATGATCCATGATTTATGGCATACTTTAAAACACACCTCTCAACCATAGCTCACACCCGACGGATTGCACCGAACAAGTTGAAACTTGTCACACACTGTTACTAAGGTTCGATGCACAGCTTCCTGTATTGAAGATCCCATCCTTTCCGTTGAATGGCACTCAGCAGTAGCATTCAACATATTTTGTGACCACAACCGAAAGGTTCCATGTCATACATCGCTTCTGATATGGCAATTTCTGTCAAATAAAAACATTATGTTTTGTCCTCATCCACCTTATTTACCAGATCTGGCACTGTGCAACTTCTGGCTCTTCCCAAAAGTCAAAATGACCATGAAAGCAAACATTTTGAATCGATTCAGGATATTGAGGCAGCCATGACAGTGCAACTCAAGACACTCATGAAAGAGAACTTCTAGAACTGCTTCAGAAAGTAGTAAGAATGATGGGATAAGTGTGTTTGAACTGAGGGGGAATATTTTGAGGGGGATTAATGGTATGTGTCTTCTGTAATAATTTTTTTTTAATTTAAACATTCATTGTAGTTTTTATCACACCTTGTAGATGATGTGTTATAGAAATGTACACTTGAAACCTATGTAATTTAACCATTGTCACCCCCCCAATAAATTTAATTAAAAAATAAAATAAAATATATAATAACAAAAAATAAGATAATTATGTTGAGATAAGTTTTACAGTTTCAGTAGGTATCTTCCTCTTATTAGATAATAAATAATGGGCCTCATGTCAATATTTACATTTAGACATCAGTTTATTAGGAGAAGAATGCTTCTCTAGTTTCTTAGGAAGAGTTATTAGTTTAACAGAGAATTACTTTTCGGGCCAGCCGAGTGGCAAGTTGGTTAAGAGCTGTCTTGGGACGCCAGCTCTGAGCGGCAGGGCCCCGGTTTGGATCCCACATATGAGGGCCAGTGACACTGCCCTCTACAGGTAAGATGGTGAACAACAGCTCGACCTGGAGCTGGGCTGCCGTGAGTCACCAGCGACAGCGTAGGCTGCAGCCCCTGCTGCAGTGGGCTGCCATAGGCTACCATGTGTGGCTGGCAGACAGCATGAGCAGCCGGCAGCCGGTGTGAGCTGCCAAGAGCCGCTGTGAGCAGCCGTCTGGTGGCTGGCAACCGATCTGCCTCAGCCGGGAAGAGTGCAATGATAATAACAACATGGGCAGTGAAGCAACATCCTCCACAACTAGACTGAATAACAAAAGGACAGCAACTTCTCTGTTGCCCTTCCCCTGATTCCCCAGCACTGTTCCCCTACCCCAATTCCCCAATAAAATCTTTAAAAAAAAAGAAGAAAATTGACCTTGTTTGTATTAGCTTTATTTTTTATTTATTTATTTATTTATTTATTTATTTATTTTTAAAGATTTTATTGGGGAATTGGGGGAGGGGAACAGACAAGTTGCTGTCGAGGACGTTGCTTCACTGGTCCATGTTGGCATTATCATTGCTCTCTTCCCTGGTGAGGCAGCTGCTTGCCAGCCATTGGACGGTCGCTCAATGTGCCTCATGGCAGCTCCAGTAGGCTGCCAGCCACTCACTCTGTCTGCTGGCCACTCATGTTCGCTTACAGCAGCCCGCTGCAGCCTACGCTGTCGCCGGCAACTCATGGCAGCCCAGCTCCAGGTTGAGCTGTTGTTCACCATCTTAGCTGTAGAGGGTGCAGCGTCACTGGCCCTCATGTGGGATCCAAACCCGGGCCCTGCTGCTCAGAGCTGGAGTCCCAAGCCAACTCCTAACCAACATGCTACTCGACCGGCCCTCTATTAGCTTTATTTTGATGTGAAGGCTATTTCTATCAAAAGTTTGAAAGTTATTTTTAAAAAGGTTTATTTTAGTTTGCTGTTGTATAAACAGATTAACAGATACTGAAGTTATTAGTGATCTATTACAGGTTAGATGGATACAAACAGTATGAAACGTATTTTAACAAACTGATTTTCAGGTATATGAAATAAGTTTAATACTGAGACATAATAATTTCATATGGAAAAAATAAAGCACTTTGGGCTTTATGTTGATTATATCTTGGATATTGATTGCAAATAAATTAGTGATACTAGATTTCTTCAACTGAAACCCTTGATATACTTTTGAATTATTTTATGCTGTAAAGATATGAAATACAAAGTAATTCTTTTTTACTAGTAGCTAATTTGTTTAGTTATCAGTGGTTTTGTTTTTTTCTCCCACTTCTAGAAAAGTGTGAGTGCCTTACGACTACTCATGCCGAACTCCCAGAGTTTTATTCAGCAATGTGTTCAGGAGGCTTCTAGCGAAGTAGCCATTACTACCTGTACCACACCAGTAACAACTTCTTCAGTGGTGACACCAACAGTTTCTTCAGTCCAGTCTGAAAAACCCATCATTGTTTCTGGAGCAACAACACCCAGACCTGTGTCAGTGCAAACTCTGAATCCGCTTGCTGGTCCAGGGGGAGCAAAAACTGGAGTTGTGACACTTCATTCTGTGTGTCCTGCCACTGTACCTGGAGGAACAACAGCTGGAACTGTTCTGCTTCAGACTCCAAAACCGCTTGTGACATCCATACAAAATACAGTTACAGCAGTCTCACTTCAACCTGAAAAACCAGTTGTCTCTGGAGCAGCAATGACACTGGCCCTTCCATCGGTAACTTTTGGAGAAACTTCAGCAGCAGCTATTTGTGTTCCGTCTGTGAAACCTGTTGTTGTTTCTGCTGGGACCACATCTGATAAGCCTGTCATTGGCACTCCAGTCCAAATCAAACTTGCACAGCCGGGCCCCATTCTTTCACAACCAGCTGGTATTCCACAGGCAGTTAAAGTCAAACAACTAGTGAGTAATATTTTATTTCTTCCTCAATTTCTTATTTTGAAAATTTGAAACATTCAGAAAACCAGCAAGACTAGTAAAACAAGCCCTTGTGTACCCTTGATCAAGTTTGACCACAGTTGTTACCTGGTCTCTCCCTCTCCGTATTCACATATACAAACACACAATTTTTGCTGACCCATTTGAGATTCGGTTGCAGAAATTGTGACATTGCATTGTTATATACCATGTATATAGAGATACCATGTATCTCTTAGGGACAAGGATTTTTTTCTTTTTTTTTTTTTTTTTAATGTAACCACAACATACTTATCACACAGAGGAAGTTAACATTGGTACAATATGCAATTCCCCAGTTTTCCCAACAATGTCTTTTATAGCAATTTTTTTTCTGATGTTTCTAATAAAGAATTGCATATTACATTTACTTGTCATTTCTCTTTAGACTCCTCTAGTCTAGAACAGCCCCCTAACCTTTTGTGGTTGCTTGTTATGTTATGTTTTAAGTGCCCAGGCTAGTTGTTTTGCAGAATGTTCTTTATTTTGTTTTCTCTGATTGTTTCAAGGTTAGATTCAGATGAAATATTTTTGGTAGCATTATTACATAGGTAATATTACGGTAACATTTCTTTAAAAAAAATATGCTGAGAGAAGAGGAAGATAGTGAAGGGAGTGATGTATTTCCAAAATTTGTTAGGTTGGGAGGTTCTTGGGAGAAAGAAATCTTACCTGTTTATTGATTAGTGTTTAGAACATTTGACTTTATTCAATTCAAGTTTTATCAAAAGACTATGAAAGTATAGTTAATATGTGTGAGATGGTACATGGTGAATTAGTTAAAAATTTTGGGGTTTTGTTTTATACTATAACACAGCTAGCTGTTCTTTTGATTTTTGGTGATTGCCCTTGTTCTCTTTTGTAAGTCTTTGTGTTAAAGGCTGTGTTTTGAATCTCTTCTTTTAGTTTTTTCTGCTTCTTGGAGTAGTAAAACCTAAATTAACTTCCCAGCCTTGTTTGTGTGATCAGGAGAAGAGGTTAGCATCTGTGGGTGACTTGTCTTTGAGGCAGAGGGCAGCTTTTGGAATAGAATAGAAGGGGGAAGATCAATTTAAACAGTTGTCAAACTCTTTGGTAGGTAGGAAGTAATAGTCATGTCCTGGGTTCTCATCTTTTTTCATCCCTTCCTACTATGGGTCTGATTTTCAAATGGAGAAATGTATCTGCCTTGCAGACTTTTCTCTTAGATGTCTGAATTGAATCTCAGAGATGAAACCTTTTTAGAAGCAGTGATTCTTAAACATCAGTCTGAACAGCCAGGTTTGGGAACAACTGGAACTAGTAATTGCCCCAAGGAAAGGCCTCTTTTTGGTAGCACTGAACAGAATTGAAACCCTTTTTCTGGGTCATAGATAATTGTTGAATCAGTGTTAATCTTTACTGAACATCTATAGCCTATTGGTCCCTGAAGTGAAATAATGCTTGATAGCTGCATAGAGTTTTAAAAGCATGTCATGTATACACTGTGAATTTTAAAATAATTTTGTGATGCTGAAAATGCGGGGAGAAAACAGTCTGGAAATTTTAAGTGGCACTCAGTTAAGTAATGAATCTCAGACTAGAACCCAGTGTCTTTCCGTTTAAGTTATGGTGCTCATGGCAAGAACTTACAGGCTTCTGGAGTGTCCTGAAACAGAAAACTGTCGGATTATAATATCTTGGCAGCATTTACGTTTTGTAGGTTTGACTTGTTATACATTAGAAACAATTTCAATCAAGAAAAAACATAACAAAATCCAATGGTTAAATTTTAGGGATTTCTTTCAACTTCCTACTTTCATTTTTAAAAGAATGTAGAATAATTTAGTTTTACTTGTGAATCCTGCTTTCTTGTTTGACCCTTATTTCAGTTTTAGTCAACAATTTAATGTCAGTATTAATACTTTCCTATTTAAAATGGCAAAAACAAGAGCAGCCAGGCACTGAAGATGCATTGTAATCTGTTTTGCAACAGATTTTTACCTGGGGCACAAAACAGCATAAGCTATTCTGTATGGTAATGACACAGAGAGGATTGAACAAGGACATTCTTTCAAATCAACTAATTTAGAAAATGAATATTACTCAAAGGTGAATTAATATTTCTTGAGTAATTTAGGAATATCATCAGTGAGTTCATGATAAACCATATTCCAATGTAATCCTATGTCTAAGTGAGGAGAAAAACACTCAGGGTGCTAGAAACAAGAAAGTATTCAATGAAACTTACAAGAATTAAGGAAAATAATTATTTAAAATATGGAAATTACCACACTGGATTAAATCTGTCTTCTCTGCAACTCAGGATTCAGTCTCCACAAATGGTCTGTAGAATACAAGTATGGCTATCTTGTTTAATGTTAGATTTAAAATGTGTGTAATTTATTTCCTTTAATAATTGATCATGAAAATTGTATCCTTTAATAACTAATATAAAAATTCTCTGTTAATACTTTATTCTAGTTGGTGCTAATTTTCGTGATGAATTATACAGGTTTCCTGCCTTCTGGATGAGACGTTTTAAATATCACACTTTGAAATTATAAGAATCCTCTAATCTACTATTTAAGGGTTTAGGTTTTGTACAATTATACAAAATTTTATGAAATTATACATTTTTATTCCAGATTAAAGAAACCCTTTAGATTTATCATTACATGTTATCATTGATTATTGTTTATCTTCTGGGGATCTGCTAAAGCTCTCATCAAGTAAATTAATTAGAATTGCTAACAGTTTTTTCAGGTGTACGTTTTTTATTTTGTACTAATAGTTCAGTGTTTGTATATTTTGATACTAAAATGTTGAACTATGGGCCTAATCAGTAATTCTTGGGATTTCATCTAAGAATCTAGTTCTTATAAATGGTTAATCTTATTGGTTATCTATCAGTTCTGGTGCAGGTGTTGTTATATGATGTTATATACTCCAACAAAATGTTGAGCTAAACATTTTTACCTTTGTTTAAAAGTTAATGAAAGAGAATGGAAGAATTGTATAGTCTACTGGTGATAGATAATAAGTAGAAGCTTTCAGGAGTATTAGTGCTTAAAAGTTTTCTTAGAATATTTGTAAAAAAAACTTATAATTGAGCAAAAGCTATATTTAATTTAAAGATTCTCATTTTAATTAAAATTAAACCTAATTAGCAAAATTAATTAAATTTACTAAAGCTAAATTTTAATTTGATCATTTTAAAATTAAATTTTGGTAAATTCTAATAACTAATTTTACCACACAAAAATTAAACAGGGCCGGCCGAGTGGCGCGGTGGTTAAGAACTGGCTTGGGACGCCAGAGGGCCCCAGTTCGGATCCCACATATGAGGGCCAGTGACACTGCCCTCTACAGCTAAGATGCTAAACAACAGCTCAACCTGGAGCTGGGCTGCCGTGAGTTGCCGGCGACAGTGTAGGCTGCAGCCCCTGTGGCAATGGGTTACCATGGGCTACTATGTGTAGCCAGCAGCCAGCGTGAGCGGCCAGCAGCTGCAGTGAGCGGCCGTCCAGAAGCCGGCGACTGATCTGCCTTGCCCAAGAAGAGTGCAATGATGGTGCCAACTTGGGCCAGTGAAGCAACGTCCTCCACAACTAGACTGAAGAACAAGATGACAGCAACTTGTCTGTTCCCCTTTCCCCAATTCCCCAGCGCTGTTCCCATTCCCTCAATTCCCCAATAAAAATCTTAAAAAAATAAAAAAAAATTAAACAGTAAGCCTCTCAAATCCATAATGTGTGAATAAAATTCATGAATAATGAGAAAGCTAATTCAAAATTCATGGTTTCTGTTTTTGGATAAAAGGCTGACAATTTTAGAGAGTAAGTTGAATATTATTATTCTTAGTAATCTTGTATATATATATCACTTGAATATCTTTAAGAATAATTTATACTTGGAGTTAGGGCAGGAAGTTTTAATATTGTCATAGATCTTTTCCTTATTTCAAATGTGTGTATATATAGATAGATAGATAGATAGATAATATATTTTTTCCCCCAAGTGACTCTATTACTTGCTTTTCTTCTTTAATAGAATTGTAGAAATTTGATAAATAAGTGGCCAAGTATGTTCAGCAATCATTCTCCAAATATTACTGTTTTGTGGGTATAAGGGAAAAACAAATAATTATTAGTGCATTATTAACGTGGCAATTTTCCATTTCATTACAGCCCCTAAAATAAATCGACCAAGTATATTAGAAAAAAGTTTTCGTTGTCGCATCATATTTTTTTCTTGTAACTAATTATTTTGAAATATGGGTAACCATTAAAGAAGTTTCAACAAATATGTTTTTATATGAAGTACTCTGTGAGACTTAACTCAGTTGATTATCTTGACTTCAGTTCAAACTGGATAAAGAGAAATATTTTCAAGGTATAAGTTTTAGTCCCTGATTATGTTGGTGGTCAGTGTTTTCGTTAGAGAAGTTAAATAAAAATTGAGTAGGGAAAAAAAAAAAGGATCATTGGTTGTTTTACTGGCTCTCAGTTTCATATTGGACTAACCTATTAGGATCCAGACTTAAGCAGTTTGACTTAAGCAGTTTGTCTTTTTTCTTCCTTTTTTTTGCATTCTGTTAAAAGTGAGAGGAGGGATAGAATTCAGTTGTTGATTGTAATCTCTTAAATAGGGTTAATGAAAGGTTTGGTGAAGAAAGAGGTTGAATTCAAGTAAAACCTACCCTTTATTTACTATATGTAATTAGCGGTTACATGGAAAATTCTTCATGGGTCATAATTTAATCATGGCTTTATATGATAATAATTTTACTGTTATAGGTTAATTTTAGTTCATTTAAATTTACTTGAATATGTGTACCTGTTTAGTTTGGTAAGGGTACATTAGAATTTATAGAAAATAAACTATTTAGAGATAATATGCATACATATGTCATGTATATGTCTTATTTTTTAATTCAAGAAAATATTTTATTATGAAAATTTTCAAACAACAAAGTTTAGAGTGAATACTCATATACCAACCACCTAGATTCTGTTTACATTTAGTATACTTGATTTATATGTATTTATCCAGCCATCAATCATAATTTTTTGATGCATTTCAAAGATTCCTTCCTAAATAATTAAACACACACATTATTAACTACAGTTCATTATTTGTTTTTTCTTTTTAGCCCAAATTTACATACAATGACATGCACAAATTTTAAATGTATCATTGGATAAATTTTGACAGTGAATACTTCCGAATAACTCAAACCCCCTATTAAGATATAAAATGTTGCTATCACCTTGAAATTTCCTGTGTCCCTTCCCAGTCAGTCCCTACCCCATCTCCTCAGAAGTACCAACTCTTCTGATAATTTTCTCCCACAGATTAGTTTTGCTTGTTCTAGAACTTCATATAAATCAAATCAGACAATACGCATATTAAAATTTTTTAACAGAATTTCATAGGTTCTCGATTTGAAGCAGCATTTACTGATTCCTGTAAAAGCTGGTAATGTAATTAAAAATTCATTTGAGCACATTTTAAAGTGTTTGGAAGGCCCCTTTAAATTAAAGAAACAGCATATTCTGAGGTTTACCAAGGTTAAATTTTAATCTAGATTGGGCATGGCAAATAAATTTCACCTCCCACTGTAGGATTTTACTTGAGCTTTGTGTTAAAAGATATTCTGAGGCTGGATGTGCGTATATAGAAGTGCTGGCATTAGTAGATTATGCCATTGTCCCAGAAGATAAGGAACACATTGACTGTTCCTGAGAAATAGTTAGGAACCAACATGTATTTCCTGATTTTATGCTACAGTTTTTGTTTAGTTGGGCCCTGTTTTCTAGAACTCAACCTTAGTGTGTGCATGCCAGTAATCACATTTTGAATATTATATAGAAATTAGAGGAGATAATTACCCTTGATTTTAGTAACTGTGTGTGAATATACTACTTAGTTATTTAGAGATAAGTATTTGATTGTTGTATATTTATGAATAGAGGAATGGATTGGGGTTGAAATATAGAGAAAGCAAAGTGTGAGGCGTGTTCTCATCTATTTGTTTAATCCATACTTGTGTTTCTTTGCTTCCTTTCCGTATGGAATTTAAGGTCCATGTCAGATATCCTAGATCATAATTATGTAAAACTTACAATTAATGTAAAAATACTTGTAAAAAATCCTTACATTCTTCACGAAAAGAATATTTTGTGGCTCTAGACCTGTGTTTTCTGTAAATGACTAGAACATTAATTTGTGTTAAATCCAAATAAAACATCAGAATTTAATATGTCAAAAGAAAAAGCTAAGCTATGTACTATTTCCCAGTCTTCCTTTGTAGTGGTTTTTTGGAGGGAAAGTTAAATAAAGGACTCAAGTTTTAAAAAATACCTCTTTTGTTTGCCAAGTAGAAGCAAATATCCCTTTTATGGGCCAATTTCTATTCCTCTCAGATAGTTTCAATCTCTATAAGATGCCTGATACTGTGGTTTTAAATAGTACTTACTCTGAAAGAACACTAATGAATTGTTATACTTTTTCACTCATGTTTTATTTTGTTTGGTAAGTGTGCAGGAATATGCTGCATATGTGCTGCCCCAAGTGTTATAGTCATTAAAATGAGCAATGATGGGGATTCAAGATTGTTGATCTCAGCACAAAACTTTGTGATATGTATAAATATCCCATATTATTCATATATGTACACACACACACACACCCACCCCTCCTGCCTAGTCCCAGGGGTGTGGAGTCCCAACCCCTCTTCACCTGAGCGGCAGGCCACTGGCTGTTATATTTTTGAGTACCCATCAAAACAGGGTATGAAGACTAACTCATAATCAAATTTCTAATAATATTTTTTTACTGTCTTTCTTAATAAAAATACTGAAAAGAATACCTAGTAAAGGATATCAAGGAAGAAAATGCAAACAATAAGGAAATAAGCCCAAGTTGTCAGGAGTGGTTTTTAAGTTTCTTTCTGAATACATAAATGAGACTCTGAATGTATATATATATATATTATGTTGTAGAATTTAAATCTGTACATAAGTATGACCTCCACTTGTTGAAATGCATCATTGCTTTCAAGAGTTCTTTCTCTCTTTATAGAGTCTTTTCTTAGAATGACGGTGATTGAATTATTCTAACTCGTATTTCTTCTCTAGGGGCATGAGTTCCTATAGGATTATTTATTGGGGCATTTTGAGTTTCTTATGAGTTAATTTTGTTTAGTATTATACACTAGGTTTTAAATATTATTTACAAAAAAATTAAAGTATACAATAGATTGTACTCCCAAAATTCTGTTCAGAAGTCTATCTTTTGGCTTGTTTATATTAGCCATACATGGGTTTAAGGACTTATAAATATTTTACTATCAATAGCTGGCTCATATACATGGTGACTGTTTTTCTTCTTTGAAGTGAAAAAAAATGAAGCTCTGCTATTGTGTTTTCTTCTTTGAAGCTAAAAATAAGGCTCTGCTATTACCTTGATTTCTCTTCCTTTGTGCCCAACCCTCACCCTCTGGATTTCTTGAACTGTTTGTTACCTTGGAGAATGCCTTCAACATGGTCATTTTCCAGATACTTTTTAAAAATATCCCACTAAAAGTCCTTATCTTTTGGAGATATATTTACAGATAAAGAGACACAATATATCTTATTTTAAAAGCAAATCCTTTAAAATAATTGAAGATGGTGGGGAAGTGGGTAGAGATATAGAAGAAATAAGATGGGTCAAGAATTAATTATTGTTCAAGCTAGGTAATAATGGTACCATGTATCTTTTTATTGTTCTACTTTTGTATATGTTTGAAAATTTCCATAAGTTAAAAAAATGAAAATAGGATGCATATGCAGGTTTAAATTGGGCAGTATGTAATGTAAATTTGAATTTTACTCTAAAAAATAACATATAATGTGTGTGCTAGTAATGTTTTTTGCTTTTGAATAAGATAATTTTGTTACATACAAATTTAAATTTTAAATAGGCTTTCTTATGCTAAGTTGAAGGTATATTTACAGTTAGATGAGCGCAGCTGTTTGTTCTATTGTGATAACTGAAAGTTTGTTCTTTTCCTAAAGCAGGTTTGGTTGAATGACTATAACGATAATTCTCATTGTTTTAGGTGGTCCAGCAGCCTTCAGGAGGCATTGCAAAACAAGTGACTACACTGTCCCATTCCCCAGCATTGACCATTCAGAAATCTGGACAGAAGATGCCAGTGAGCACCACAATACCTACCAGTCAGTTTCCTCCAGGTAGACTCTGACCTCCCACCCCCACCCCATCACCCTGGGTTTGAAACATGATGGAGTTTTGTACTTTTTTATTGTTATGTTAAGAGAGATTTGGTATTTTATGTTGGGACCTATGAAAGAAAACTGTAAGATAACTATATTACATTCTCCCTCTTTTTTTTCATATTTTCACTTATTTTTTTATATTACATTCTTTACATACATTCATAGCCACTTTTTAGGAATCTATGTTTTAGAATAAAAGAAGCCTACTCACTGTATTGTAATTAGATAAAATAATGTAGTAATAAATAAGTACTTTTTTAACTTATAAAAATTTTTATAGCCTTATTTAATTTTACTTCTTATTTTTTTTTTTTTAAGCTGAGCCATCCTGCCACCTGTTGGCAGCTCAGTGGCTGCTCAGCTCGGGTTGGGCATCAAACCGCTGTTGCTCAGAGCTCAAACTCTTGAGCGAGCTCTTAACCAACTGAGCTACTCTGCCGGCCCCCTTATTTCATTTTAAAATGTACTTCTTTGTCTAAGTTTGGAAATTAATCTTACACATAAAATTCAGATGTTTTATGTACTTTTACAAGCTACCAATATAAATGATATGTTATTAACATGTTTCTGTCACCTTTTTTATGATGTTGGTGATTCTGTAGACAATTTGAAGTCTGTAGTTCTTGATTTTAGCAGATAATTTCTTGTGTAGGGAATAAATTCATTGTTATATTTGAATTTAAACACAGTTCTGGACAGGTTGAAATTCTCTTTGATTATTCCATGTGTATTTAAAGCTGTTGTCCTGAATTTTTCCTAATGTCATATGATTGCTTTTTTCTTTTTTTTTTTAACTCCTAGGTGTTTCTTTCTTCTTTTGTTTTTATAGCTTCCATTCTCAAGCAAATTACCCTGCCAGGAAATAAAAGTCTGTCACTTCAAGGATCTCCTATTCAGAAAAATAAAATAAAAGAGAATGGAGCAACATTTTCCAGGTAAAGAAAATAAATAGCTGAAACTTGGTTTGGTTTAAGGAAGTAATATTTTAAAAAGATAAATGACAGAACAATACTTATATAAAATACATATATTAATGCTTTTTAAAAATGCTAATAGTACTTTATTGAATGTAAATTATAAACAGTAAAGTGCACAAATTTTAAGTATACAGTTCAGTGAATTTTGACAAATAAATACCTGTGTAATCATAATCCAGATCAAGATGCTGAACACATTCATCATCTTTATGCTCCTTTCAAATCAATTACCCCCAACCCCTGCCTCCAGCAGCCACTATTTTTATATTTATCACCATAGATCATTTTTGTCTATTCTTGAACTTCACGTAAATGAGAAATTACATTATCTGGTTTTGCATCTGACTTTTCACTCCGTATGTTTTTGAGATTCATTTTCGATGTCATTTTTGAGTTATTAGAAGATTGTTCTTTGTATTGGTGGGAAATATTGGTTATATTAGTGTAAATTTGTTTATCCTTTTCCCTGTTATTGAACATTGGGTTGGATTGTTTATAGATTTTGACAATTATATATAAACATTTACGTACAGATTTTTATGTGAACATAGTTTCTCATTTCTCTGTGGTAATATCTAGGTATATGATGGCTGGGTCATTAGATAAGTGTGCGTTGAACTACAGCAGGTCCTGTATTTACTACAGTTCAACTTACGATTTTTGAACTTTACAATGGTGCAAAAGCTATATGCATTCAGTAGAAACTATACTTCAGAATTTGAATTTTGAACATTTCCTGGCTAGCCATATGCCCTTTGATACTCTCATGATGCTGGGCAGTAGTGAGATGATTTTGCCCAACTGTAGACTAATGTAAATGTTCCAAGCATGTGTAAGGTAGCTAGGCTAAGCTATGATGTTCAGTAGGTTAGGTGTATTAAATGCATTTTCATTTAAGATATTTTCAATTTATTATGGGTTTATTGGGACGTAACCCCATCATAAGTCCAAGAGCATCTATATTTAAGAAACTATCATACTGTTTACCAAAGAGACTATCATTTTGTATTCTTACCAGCAGTGATGAGAGTTCCACATGCACTCCAACTTTGTCAGTGCTTGGTATTTTCAGGTTTTTTTAATTTTTACCATTTTAATAAGTGTATTTTGGTTATTATTATTGTGGTTTTAATTTGCTTTTTCCTTATGACTGAAGCTGTTGAGCATCTATTTTTGTGCTTATTTGTTATCCTTATATCGTCTTTGGTGAAGTGTATGTTCAAGTCTTTTGCCCATTTTTCTTATTGAGTTATTTGTTTTCTTCTTGTTGAGTTTTTAGAGTTCTTTATATAGTCAAGATCCAAGTCCTTTGCTACATAAGTGATTTGGAAATACTTTCTTTATGGTGTGTTTTATCATTTTCTTACTAATATCTTTCACAGAGTAAAAGTTTTTAATTTTTTGTAGTCCAGTTCATTAACTTTTTCTCTTGTAGCTTATGCTTTTCAGGTTTTATCTAAGACATGTTTATGTAACCCGGGGTTACAAAGATTTTGTCCTATGCTTTGTTCTGGAAGTTTTACAGTTTTAGGTTTGTCCTTTTTGTATTGATATTCTTTAATTGCCACTTATTGCCTATATACAAATAAATGTGTGACTATTCTACACTCATGTTAAAAGGATAAAAATAATAACATATTTGAAGATACCTTGAAATTGTATCATCACTAATATAAAGGCAGAATGTATGCACCCTTATAAACTAGTACAAGAGAAGTCACACTGTAGCTTTGCAGCTACACAGACCTCCACAATCCCCAATATATAACCTTAATAGTTTGGAAGAATCATTTTTCTCAAAAGATATAAGAAGTATTTGTTACCTTTACAATTTGTATGAGTACTATAATTTTATATATCTAGAAATAAACTAATGAAATCCAAGCTAATGTTGCATGCAAGGAATCTGGACAAACCTGAAGCTGGTTCTGTTCCATCAGGCACATTGGTTGTGCCAGGTGAAAGAGAGGTGTCAGCAACGCCTATATCTAGAATTCCACCCAACATGCTACTCATCAGATGAGCCTAGTATATTAAAAACACTTATTTTGTGTTTTATTGTGTTAAGTCCTCTGTATCCTTATTTATCTTTTGTCTGTTCGTTCTATCCATTATTGAGAGTGGAGTGTTGAAGTCTCGAAATATTATTGCAGAACCGTGTATTTCTCCCTTCAGTTCTGTCATATTTTGCTTCATACATTTTGTTAGTCTGTTAATAGATGCGTAAATGTTCATAATTATTATAGCTTCTTGCTGTATTTAACCTTTTATTAATATATAATATTCTTTGTCTCTTGTAACCTTTTTTGATTTAAAGTCTATTATGTCTGATATTAGTATAGCCACTCCTGTTTTCTTATGGTTACTATTTACATGGAATATCTTTTTCCATCTGTTCATGTTCAGTTCGTTTGTGTTTTGGGATCTAAAGGGAGTTTCTTATAGACAGTATGTATACAAGGTGTGATCAAACAACATGGTGAATGTTTAAATTAAAAAAATTTATTACAGTAAAAGACATATCATCATTAATAATCCCCCTCAAAATACTCCCCCTCACTTCAAACACACTTTTCCCATCATTCTTATCACTTTCTGAAGCAGTCTGGAAGTCCTCTTTCATGAGTGTCTTTAGTTATGCTGTTGTGGCTGCCTCAATGTCCTGAATCATTTTGACTTTGGGGAAGAGCCAGAAGTCGCATGGTGCCAGATCCTGTGAATAAGGTGGATGAGGACACGCTATAATGTTTTTATTTGACAGAAATTACCATATACCAGAAGCGATGTGTGACATGGAGTGTTGTCATGATGGAGGATGATTTACAGCACACTTTAAAACACCTTCTCTCAACTGTAGCTCACACCCAACTACACCAAACAAGTTGAAACTTGTCACACACTGTTACTAAGGTTCGACACGCCACTTCCCATATTGAAGATCCCTGCCTTTCTGTTGGATGGCACTCGGCGGCAGCATTCAACCGTATTTTTTAATCAAAACAGGAAAAGCTCCATGTCACACATTGCTTCTGGTATATGGCAATTTCTGTCAAATCAAAACATCACAGTGTGTCCGCATCCACCTTATTCACTGGATCTGGCACCGTGCAACTTCTGGCTCTTCCCCAAAGTCAAAATGACCATGAAAGGTAAATGTTTTGAATCGATTCAGGACATCAAGGCAGCCACAACAGTGCAACCAAAGACACTTATGAAAGAGGACTTCCAGAACTGCTTCAGAAAGTGGCAAGAATGGTGGGATAAGCGTGTTCAAAGCGAGGGGGAGTATTTTGAGGGGGATTAATGGCAATGTGGCTTTTACTGTAATACATTACTTTTTTTTTAATTTAAACAGTCACCATATTTATCACACCTCGTATTAGGATCATATGTTTTTATCCATTCTGCCAGTTGCTGTGTTTTGAATATAAAGATCATTCCATTTACATTTAAAGTAATTACTGATAAAGAGAGACTTATCATTTTAATGTTCTCTTTAAGTCTTACAGCTTTTCTGTCCCTCATTTCCTACATTATTGTATTCTTTTGTGTTTAGTTGCTTTCTTTTATAGTGAAATGTTTACATTTTTTTCTCCTTTTGTGTATATTCTGTAGCTATTTTCTTCAGGGTTACCATGGGAAGTACATTTAACATCCTAAAATAACACTGTAATTTAAAATGTGCCACATAACGATATTTTGATCAACAACAGACCTCATATATGATGGTGGTCCCATAAGATTATAATGGAGCTGAATTTCCTCTAAGAAATGGAAGGATATATGGTTCAGAAGGACTTTTTTTTCTTCTCTGCTGGGCGCAGTAATGTGGGGCTTGGCAAAAGATTTCCACTCACTCACAGCACCTCAATTTTGAATGTACAGATTACATCTCAGTCAGCCACTGACCTGTTTCAGCCCAGATGCTCCTGTTACCACAATGCTACATATTCAGAGGGTGCGACAGCCCCCCCAGAGCTAGCTTGATGGTCTTCAGAGTACATTGCTGTAACTTTTTTATTGAGGACCTAAGATCCTGTACAAGGCACGGGTTCACAGGCACTACCTTAGGTATTAAGTGCCACTGCCACTTTAGTAAAGCTTTCTGTGGTAGTGTGGAACCAGTCTGTCCCTGTGTTTTGGAAATGTTTTCAGGTTGTAATGATGTAAAGCATAGGTAAGTTTTATTTCTTCCATCAGTTCAATGCCAGAGAGAGCCCTTATGTGCCAGATAGTGTCAATGGAACAAAAAAACAAATTTCCAAAGTCAAAATGAGTCCTCACTTGTACAACCTCTCCATATTAAACTGTTTCTCTTTTTATGAGTACCACAAAGCTTCTTAATCTGACCACGGATCTAACATGCAATAGCCCAAACCACACTGCCATGACAAATCATCTGTTCCTTTATCTCTCCATCTTGATTTCTTATTCCTGCTCAGCCTCAGGCCACCTTTCACTCCCTCCTACAGTCACTGTTGTGGTGATGTATACCTTACTCAGCCAGTTTCACCTTGATATTTGCAATCAGTTCAGCCCACATCCTGTTCATGGAACCACATTGACAGCTTTGATGCACTATTTCTTATCCTGTTGGAAGGAAGCAGGGACAGTGTTTATGAAGTCTACAGTTGTGTATACAGTAACATTCTACACCTTCACAATCACCACTCAATCACTGACTCACCCAGAGCAACTTCTAGTCCTGCAAGCTCCATTCCTTGTAGTACCCTATCCACGTGTACCATTTAAAAAATATTTTACTGTATTTTTACTGTAATTTTCTGTGTTTAAATAACATAAATACTTATCATTGTGTTACAGTTTTGTACAGTATTTAGTACAGTAACATGCTGTACAGGTTTTTGTAGTCTAGGAGAAATAGGCTATACGATACAGCCTAGGTGTGTGGTAAGCTATACCATCTAGGTTTGTATAAGTATACACTCTATGATGTT